AACGGGCCAAAATGTCGTGCCGTCGTCTCGTCTCCGATAGGAAGCCCACCTTCCCGAGCCCCGGTTATAGAAACCACTAACCCGCAGGAGCCGGCGCCATGGACCCAGCTTTAATGAAAGCAACTGAGTTCCTGGGATGCCGTTTTGGGGCGACTGAGCTGAACGCAAAGCCTTCTGCAAAAGGCGTGGCTGCGGACTATAGCCGACGGCGATGGAGTGCCATGGCAACGCACAAAAGCACCTTTTGTGGGACACTTGGATTCACTGAAGGCCTTCTGCAAAAGGCGTTGACGCTGACTGCGGGCGATGGTATCCGAGTGCCATCACGATGTACAAAGCGCTCTGACGCTCTGGGAACTTGGGGGTGGCTGCGAAGCCTTCTGCATAAGGCGAAGACGATGCTTTCGAGTGAGAGGGCGAGGTACCACGATGATGTACAAGTCACCCTGAGCAGCGAGACATGTCCTGAACTTCCGCAAGGAAGACTTTGTTGTGTGTGGCGCACGAAGCGTCTACAGGCGACGTGAGCGTCGCTACTACAAATTGGGACTGTGACCACGACGCACCTTGGGGCACGTGAACGCGCTGAACGTGAAGCTGAGTGGGCATGCAAGGCACGGAAGCAACAGATGAGAAGCCTGGACATGTTGTTGGAGGCCCCTGCATGAGACTGCGTATGAGTGGGAATTTACTGCATGCAATGCCTGGAAGAGTGGGAATTTGGTGCATGCACTTTTTGCATGCAGTGCCTGGAAGCCTGGGAATTTATTGCATGTACTGCATGTACAGTTACAGACAGTCTGGCGTTACTTTGGCAATTGGGAACGCGAAGTATCTGGACATCTGCTGCATGTTTTTGCTGGTGGACGCATAACAACGTTTACACTGCATGCGATGACTGAATTTGATGCTGGAGACGGGAGTACAGGAGCAGTATGGCCCCTGCGGGACAAAGGGAGACTGCTAGCAGATGCGAGACTATATAGCGGTGACGACTACCTCCGTGACTCGCGACTGGATTTGCATGACATGGGGCCTCTGCAAGCCTCGCGGTTAGATGAGACTGAGGCGGCCCGTGTGAGTGCAAACTGGTGAGAGGTTGCTGCGTCATGACATGAGGCTGATGGCAGACTGCAAGCGAACTTGAGAATTCATTGAATTTGGAGTTCAAAGAATTCTTGAATTTGCGAATGAGACATGGTGACATTGCTGCATGACGACTTTGCATGATACTTGTGAATTTACTGCCGAGACGAATTTCAGCAGAGACGATGTTCGGGGCCAACGCAAGAGAGGGCACCTCCTGCACGAGAGGGGCGGTGAAGAGCGAGGTCCATGTATGTGTGTCTGCGGTAGCATGGTGGATGCCAAAGTTGGGATCGTGGAGTGCAGAAGGTGGTCATGCGATGGATGAGTCGTGTTGGGATTTAATTAGAGAGAGTGAGTTTGGGTGTGGTGAATATGCCTGCCCTGGCCAATGTGCTGTCGTCGATGTACTTGGAACCTCGCCAGGCTTGTCCCAGTTGTGAGTGCTGAAACCCCTAAACCCTAAACCGTTTCATGCGCTTGCAGGCACTTAAGTAGACAGTTCCGAGGCTGTCATAGCCATCGGAGTCCTGCGACTTGCAGCAGTCCACGTGCCTGCCCTCAGAAAACCCCAGCACAAAAAGTATCTCGCGTACAATACATGTTCTTTTTTGGCACTACAGTCAGACACTGTCAGGCACTTTTCTGTTGAATGTTTAGAGTTTAGTCCAGGGTCTAGAGTGCGCATTGTACAATAGCTATCAGTCTGTATTATCAGTGAAAAAGCGGGTCTCAACACATGTTGGCGAGGCTTTGCTACGAACTGCTTGTTTCAAGTCGTTTAGCACTGCCCCGCACTATGCAGCAATTACGAGTCCAAATCCTAAAAAGAGCCTTGCCTGCTTGTGCGAGAATCAGAGACGAAACATCAGCTGTACCGGTCCTTAGGGTTCCGCAAATTTCAATGACAAACCCAGAGATCCCAATGCCCTTCATTCAGGAATATAGCTTAAATCTTAAGATGATGCCCCTAAAAAATTAATTAAGGAAAAATTTCTTAATTAAGGGGTATTGGGATCTCTTGGAACAATGGCTCCAAAACTCTACAATCAGTACTTTTCTTTTCCGGAAGGCCGAGCAAAGGCACGTCTTTGAGCTGGACTACGACATGCTGGTCTATGCGGTGGGTGCCGAAACCGCCGACTTCAACATCCCAGGCGTTCGACAGCACACATTCTTCTTCAAGGCCTGGGCCTGGGCTGCCTGATATAGGAGTCTTAATTTCTAGTCACATCTAGCTAGTTTCATGTTGGCTCACATGGGCTCCGAATGTGTAGTTTCCCAGACCGTTTCGGGATTGAAGCTCTGAGCGCTATAGCTGAATAGCCCTGACCCCGCTTTGCATCGTCCGAAAGAGCTTACCCTCCAAAGGACAGGGCTTTGAGGCGTGTGGCGCTGTCGCGGCTGCCCTCATAATGTGCTGCACCGAGGAGCTCCGAGACGCAAGAAACGTCCGCTCACGCATCTCCGATCTCTTTGAGGAGGCTTCGCTTCCATCGATCTCCGAGGAGGACGGGGACCCCAAAGCACCCTAAGCCCCTCAGCTTGGTTCGTCCTAGCCAGGCGGGAGGCAACAAAAAAGCGCCTTAGTTCTCAACCAGAAACTGTACAGAGCGCTCCAGGGCATGGGCATTTGGTGCCGTTTCGAGTTTTCTGGTGTAGTTTTGGGTTCGGGATGTTTGGGGTCGCGGTGCTTTATGGCACGTTGTCATCTGGAGAGTCCGGCAGCCGGGCCTTGCAAGCTCCAGGATGCATAATTCGGGATTGGCTTGGGGGCATCGGGAGTACTAGATCTTAAAGGGCTTCCGATAGGGTTTAGCGATTGCGGTTTCGGGGGATCTATGGCGCCAGCGCTTCGGATGTCGGGGACGGTGTTGCAGGACCGAAAAGCTCTTCTTAACTTCATCGTCATTGGAGGCAGGGCTACCGGGAAGCCATGATAGTTAGCTGAGATTCTCCAGCTGCCGAGACGAATCATTCGATTGCCCGAGGTGGACCAACAGGTGTTGAGATTGCTGCCGACCTCGCCGACTTCGTAGAAGAGGAGCAAATAGCAAGCTAAAGGTTTGGATTTCGAGCCTTCTGTCTCATGCGGTGAGGCGAGAAAAGTTGGATGAAGGTTTGACCCTCTGGATTTGTGGAACCCAAGACCCAGGCAGCCCAAGAAGCAGCCTTCTTCAGGGAGCTTCAAAACTCCTCAGGGTCTGGCTCGAGGCTTCGGAGTGAATCCTCATCAACAGGACTGCCGCCGCCTGTACCCGAAGCTGTGTGATCAGGCCTGCCGCCGGCATCTGCTTGGTGCGCTTTTTCAGTAGAGGCAGAAAGGGGCAATTGCTAACAAGCAAGAGGGAGCAGTGGGCCAAGCAAGAACAGCTTGAGACAAGGTCATGGATGTTTGTCAGAAAACCTGTCTAGTCCGGGCCGTGACATGAACAGGTGGTTCAGGGCCTGGATGGTTTGCTGCTCTGAGGTGTCTATCTCTTTGGTGAACATGGAGGACCACCTGCTCTCCACTTACAGCCGCGATATTTCAAACAAGAGCCACGTTCTCAGCGATCCGAGGATGACTGCAGGGAGATCTGGATCGCCGTGAGTTGCACACGATGTGTTCGAAGCTTGAGGCTTGGAGATCTTTGAGCAGAAGGGTGTGGAGGTTCTCAACGGCTGGAGGGTCACTGAGGTCACAGCCGACAAAGCGTCCCGGCACGATCTCATTCGTTTTAAGCTCGATGAACCGTCAAGAAGCTTTACCCGAAACATCCCGAAATCCTGATGCTGATGGTGATGATGAGGCTCAAACTCTCAATCTCAGAAGACCAGGTGAAGATGACAGACCGGCATGCCAACCTGAAGGAGTTACCCCACGGCTGCGTGCTGCTGGGATTCGAACTTTCCTCGGCATGATAAGAGTATGAAGATTTAGCCACATGCACAAAACATAGCAATAGTTGCACAATGTTTTGACGAAGTCGGTATTGAGTTTTCGTGCCAACATGGACCATGTTGGAGCTGCTCATGTAGGCCCTGCAGGCGTCAGTTCAAGCTAGACCGCGCATGAGGTGTGCAGCAACCCTCGTTGCAGGATTGTCCGAGTGGGTGTCCGCAAATACAGCAAGGATCAGCAAAGGCAAGCTGCAAGCTGCGGAAGATTCATCAAACTCCGACACTTGCTCAACCTTGCATCGCTTCCAGCGAGATAAGGATCGAAACAGTACTTGGGGGCTGAGTAGGTAACCTTCAACAATTTGGGGCTTATATGATCCTACTATACTTGAAAAGCTTAAGCTTTTTTGGGCTAGGGTACTCAGCCCCTAGGTTACTGATTACTGGCATAGAGCCTGTAGAGCCCCTATAGCTTATGGCGAAGGGTGCTCAGCCCCCAAAGGAGTATTCCCAGACCTCTCGAGCCCGAGGATCTGGGCAGCCGGTGTGAAGCCCAACAAGCTCACTGGACAGGCCACCAAACTCAAGTTTTGAGGTTTATGTGGGTTTAAGGTTTAAAAGAGAGAGAGAGAGAGAGAGAGAGAGAGAGAAAGAGAGGGGGATTGGTGGTCAAGAATGAATCAGAGGGGGGCTGCCTTGGTTGGCATGATGTCGAAAATCATGGATTCAAGGACCTCGCGGTTCAATGAGGACTTCTTTTTTTGGTGTATGGAGTACCAGCAGTAGAAGTTCGCACGCACGGCACACTGCCGCCCCGAGAAAGAAGGTACGCTACAACGAAGTGGGAGCTGAGTTGGTGGGTCGTTCGGGTGAGAAGACAGGGCCCTCACATCCTCTTGCAGGGGCAGTGGCCAGCCAAATTCCTATGAAGCCAATCTACGATAACATCATGTTAAACCCATAGTACTGTACATACAGGTATGTATGTATGTATGTATATATATATATGTACAGAATAAATAAATATGTGTGTATATGTATAAAGGCTTATATAGATGTATACGTATATATGTAGAGTATATGGTATAATTTAGTATGTCAGAATGTGTTCGATACAGGCAGAGGCAGACCTTCAGATTAAAGGTCTGGACCGGGCAGCGAGACAAGGGTGGGCTATTTATTCCCAAAGAGGTGTAACTTAGGGTTTAGGGTTTAGGGTTTAGGGTTCATCAGTACTGCGCTGCTTCACGGCCACGGCAGTTCCGGGCGAGAGAAGCCTGCTGCGAAAGGGTTTAGTATCTTGTAGTCTCTGTAGTTATTCTTTGGGTCTCTGGTCCTGGTAGACGTCCGCGCGGCTGACAGACCGCTGAGTCCGCGAGAGAGAGAGAGAGAGGTCCCGGGCAAGTTGGGTCCTGGTTGGGATACCACAAGCCTACCTTTTCGTAGGTTCTGACTCTGAACACGAATGTATAATCTGTAGGAGCCATAGAAGATGGAGGTTTCGGTAGGTTGGCATGGTAGTTCAATCAAGGTGAGGCTGAGAGGTCTTGGCTGTTTCGCTATGAGCTTTCATTGCAGACAGTTGCAGCTTTATGATCAGTTGCTTGTCCACCATGAGGTCAAAGCTTCCCTGTGCGAAGTTCTGAAAGGACGTGGGGTCAGGTTGTGTTGAAGGGCTTCAGATTGCGCAAGTTCCAGGTGATGTGCCTGTCAGGCCGCTTTGCTCTTGCCGAAGAGCGGTTTTTCAGAGGCAGGTTTTAGCAGGTTTCTGTTAGTTCAAGCTGCAGCTGTTATTTGCCTTAGAGTTGCTTCTTGAAGTGAGAGGACGACAAGATGACAAGGCGAACTACGTCCAGAGCCGAGTGAGAGGCTTGGCCACTGATGCACCTTGGCTGGAAGAGAGCAGGCGAGCAATATAATGTGACAGTTCACCTTTGAAACCTTAAGCCCAACCGCCTCCACTGCTTCAGGAGTGGCTTCACGTTTGGGGCAGCCTGGGCTCAATTTTTGCGCTGGGCGCTCCCCGGCTGAAAATATGAAAATCATTCCTTCCACCAACGGAGGCTGCAGGTCGTCGCGGCCGTCATTGTCGTAGCATGTGTATTGTAGCAGCGGCGGTCATCGTCGGTGTAGTCGAAGAAGAAGAAGTAGTAGTAGTAGTAGTGGTCGCAGCCGGCATAGCAGTAGCAGTGGTGGTAGTAGTAGCAGCAGCAGTAGCAGCAGCGGCAGTCGCAGTAGCATCAGCAATAACAGTAGCAGTAGCGGTAGCAGTACCAGTACCAGTACCAGTACCAGTAGCAGTAGCAGTAGCAGTAGCAGTAGCAGTAGCAGTAGCAGCAGCAGCAGCAGCAGCAGCAGCAGCAGCAGCAGCAGCAGCAATAGCAGAAGTAGCAGCAATACTAGTAGAAGGAGCCGGAGAAGGAGTACAGTAGCAGTAGCAGTAGCACAGTGGCAGTGTGCTAGTAGCACTACTAGTAATCGTACCAATCGCACTGCGAGTAATCCGAGTAGTAGTGTAGTAGTGTCGTCGTCGTCGTCGTCGTCGTCGTCGTCGTCGTCGTCGTCGTCGTCGTCGTCTTGTTGTCGTTGTTGGTGGTGGTGGTGGTGGCGGTGGTGATGGTGGTGGCTGATGCGGACATCCGGGTTCCAACGGGCCCAGAGAGAATAGCAAAGTTATTGTAGCAACACCACCCAGTTGCTTGGACAGTGCTCTAGTATCTGTTTTTTTCTGTGTCTGTGGCAAAATGGCAAAACCGCCTGCCTGGAATGATCGTCGTAGCTCTCCTTTGTTGCAGGATGCCAGCTCAGTGCAACAAGACTGCGCTTGCCTTTATGCAGAGGAGCTGTTCAAGGCTCGACGCAAGACTTACGTCAGCTCTCCGTTTGCTATACCCACCAGTGGCTTCGCCGTGCCGATGCATAAACGAACTCAAGCCCCTGCGGGTAAGTCACTTTTTGCCTTCAAGTGCATCAATCCCTTTATTGCCTCATGATACTGTTAACTCTGATCTCAACGTAAACTAAAGACATGAAAACTACAGACCCCGAAACCGCATGTGGACCCAAGCAAGCCGAGAAAGAAGTAGTTCTCGGCCCAATCTGGGCACAATGATATGACCACCTCTCACGGTCCCACCTTCTAACGTTTAGGTGTTTGGCTGAAGGAATTGAATTTAGGCAAGGCCTTGGACGATAACAACCCGAAGAAGTTGTAATGTGGCAATATCCAGTCTGACACCTATAGCCCCCTGTTTAGGCTTTGCTGTTCGCCATAGGGGCGATTGCGACCCGAGAGACCTCACCTGTCTACCCCGAAACCGACAGGAGGCCGACGTGAACAAGGAGGGAAAGCTGTCTGTAGAAGCCTTGAGAGATCTCCTGCGAGCGAACGCTACCCGAGTCTCGATCGCAACAGCTAACCTAAGCGATAAACAAGGGTTCTACGTGGGCATATTTTTTTTGAGGGGTGAGGGGCGCGTCTGAGCCGCATCTTGCTGAAGTTGTGGGTTTAGGGCGCAGACCTTATCTGTCGTTTTACCAGTATATCCAAGCACTGCATCGATAACAGTCAAAACTGAAATGCCCACTTTCAGGTTTTGACGGAAAGCCACCGGAGCATGTCTTGCAGTCCGGTGGGTAGCGCTTCAAAAGAGGCGTTGCCAACACCGAGCAAACACAATTTCTGCTTCTAGACCTCTGGCAAAGTAAGTTCATGTAAGTCCGTCCATCGTGATCCCTACGTGGGTCAGCCAGAAGACCTAGACCCAGAGCCATGAACAGGCGGATCCCTACAAATACAGGCCCAAAGTTCAAGAAAACTCCATCGAGTTCGAGCTCGTGTTCATGTTTTTTTTTTGCAGCGGCTGTATACGGCCGTTATACCTCCTGCACAGAACATGCCCACATACCGCTCCGGCAAAGCCAAGCCTGCCCTCAAGCACCAAAACAAGAAACAGGCTGATACCGGAAGCCAACCTTCCTTCCGGCATCTTCCGGCAAAGAACTGCCAAACAACAACAACAACAACCACCAAACCGCGCTAGGCGCAGTAATTGCATTGAAAAAAAACAACAACCACCAACAACCAACAACCAACAACTAACAACCACCAACCAACAACCAACAACCAACACCCAACAGCCAACAACCAACAACCAACAAC